CACCTAAAGATTGAACAACTAAGACACTGTTTTAAGAGGGTCATTGGTTGCGCAATCGACAAGCCGTGCATTTTTATTTTCTTTTCATGCTCTACGATCAACTCGAGAATGGCTTGCATTGCGAAGTCATTGGACACGTTAGTATAAAGTGAACTAACATCGAATGACTCCATTATATGCGTGCTGTTTGGTTGCGCGCGCCTTAGGTGATCTAGAAATATTTTGGTGTTAGGTAGATGGGTTTGAATGAATTTTAGCAGCTGGGTTAGGATAAGGTTTAGGAACCACGTCATTCTATCCGTTGGCCCGACTATACGACTGATGATAGGTCTAACTTTATATGATGATGGGTTCGTTGATGTAATATCATCAGTTGAAGTAAGCTTATGTGTTTTAATAAGCAAGTAAAGGACAGGACAAATCGGGTGTTCGTTCTTAAGTCGAGAAATAACTGAAGGCTCTAAACCCGCGGCCTTTGCCGTGCTGACCCATTCTTGATTCAATTTTCGGTATTGATTTCTGTAAGCACAATGGCGATGATTTTGAAGTGAATGTGCGGATCCTAGCGCAGGAATCAAAAACATCAACGCGCAAAACTTTTGAGGCGTTTTAGATAAATTTCAAAAATCCAAAGATGAACCGGAAGGACGATTGCCTCACTATCACGCGTGACCTGGCGCCCTATTTCAAAACGATATTTTGACCCCGGGGCGTGTCTTGCTCGCGTGAACTACGTGTGGGCCAGTCCCGCACGTAACATCACGGTGAGTGACCTTTCTGTTCAATATGGCGTCTATTTGAAAGTTTGATCTTCATTAATACTTTAACCTTCTTTTCCACCGAATAATAAAAAGTATTCTAACATAAAGTACGTCCAGGCTCTGAGGAAGGCGAAGTCACCGAAACGTCAGCCATCGTTCAATAACATCAAAAACAACGACAACGACAACGACAACGAAGATCTGTACCAACCTCGCGTCAGCTTAAGGAGATCAGTTTATAAGATCACATAAATAAACATACCAGATAAAGTTTAGCACATAAATTTGCACTCGCATAACAAACAGCTTCCGACTACTCACCGTTTTGCTCGTTTTATGTCTTCCAGTTAATTCATGTAAAGCAGCCGCACGAAGTATTACATGGGCGAGGATGTGCCTGGATCAGGTCATAGAACCTGCCTGATGTATGGTGCGAGGTCACGCGTGATAACAAGGCACCCCTCCTCTTAGTTCATTTTTAGATTTTTGAAATTCATCCAACACGCTTGAAGAGTTTTAGGCACTGATGCCCTGAATTGCTGTGCGAGGCGAGTGACTTTTAGTTCAAAATCTTCTTCATTATGTTCGTGTGTCCTAGATGCGTGCGCATAGTGGAATGTTTGGCTTCAATTTAAATCCACCGACCGACAAGGTGTTGTTTTGAATGGGTGCAGAGTGGTCTAACCGTTTCACCCATGTGTTTGCCCCACATACTTTACAAAAGATCAGATAAACCGTACCCTAACTCATGCAATCACCGTCTCTACAGTTAGCGTTTATCATCCAATTCTTCGTTGTACATACATACATACGTGCGGTTGAGAGCTAGCTGGGGTCTAAGAGTGTGCGATAGTATTTTCACTGTTACCGAATTCTCCAGACCGGTCCTTCTTGAGCAACGTCTTACAGCTGCGCTTATTTCGTTGGAAATAAAGGGCGAGATAAACAGAACCTTATCTTCGTTTCAATTATTGTTTAGAGGAGTAGAGGGAGGTTTCCTCTACACCTATTCCGAGGAGCTGTAGTTTCGACGAAATGGATATTTGCCACAAACGCACTGGTGAATTTTCGAAACACATTTCTCACAAGCGCCGTTTTGGTCTGTGGTGGACGAGACGACTCTTTGGTGACAACCAAATGGTACATTATTGAGGATGTCATTATAGAACCCACTGAACCAGTTGTCATATTCATGGAACCATCACTTCTCTCACAATGTCATCCAGATGATGAATATGGGCTAGCTAGCACAGATCTCAGCCTCCTTTGTGACTTCGTTCGTTTTTAGTAGCACCTTTGTTAAGCGCTTCAAATCTATTTCCATCAGCTAACTATAACAATACACTGCCGTTATGATCACAATCTTAACCGTTTTATTTACTGCCTACTCTTTTTTAATGACAGGACATATTGCGAAGTATACCGTCAATGATGCTGAGATATTTGTAAAACTCAGGGCCGTAGGTGTCTGCGGTGGGAAACGAACGTGCTATTGTTCCTTCGAAGGAGTAACGCCTTCATCACCACATCATGCGGGCCCTTCGTTTCTATCGATCTCTGCCATCAACAATCACCCGTCAGCGGGAGACAGACGAAACGACGGACCCGCATGGTGTGGTGGTGAACGCGTTACTCCCCGGAAAGGACAATAGCGCGTTCGTCGTACATTGCCGTTACTTCGTTTTTTTTTTCTGGCTTTGAGACACATACTTAATGCAGACCTTGTAACCAGGCCGTCCTCGGGACTCCAGAGATCCAGAGTGGCTTAACCACCAAATCTCCGGAGAATGGAAATAATGGTGAGGCCCACACAACCAGACGAGACGGGCCATCCGAATCTCTAAGTAGGAGACACATACTAGCTCGCTGAACTCGAGCAATTTTGCTATTCAATATAATTGTTGTTTGCGAAAGTTTAACAAATTATTTTATAGCACGCATTTCTCACTATATTTCCGCGTTGAATTTTTTATCCTGCGTCAATGCTCTTCAAAGTTGCGCTAATGGAATAGAAGGAAAAAATAACGACCCCGAGGAACATTTCCGCGTGAATTCAAACTTGAATGTAATTGTAAAGAAATCGCAAAACATTATCAACAGCATTTGTTTAAGATGTCGGTAATGAACACACGGGTCAGCCAACATTTGTTTTCCAGCTTTTTCCTTTATAGACAGTAGTCTTGAAGATGTGGAAAACGGAATTGAGACGCTTCCGCTGGCAACCACTACTTTTTGACGTGGATTGAAAACGATCCAGTCAAAACGATGGCTCGAGAGATTGCGAAAAAACAAGGCCTTGCAAATGCAACCGTTTCGGAACACTTCAAATGAATTCGAAAGTCAGAAAAACTGGAATGGTCGGAGTCGCGGATGAAAATCAAACAGGTCACTTGTCGCTACGAAACCTGCTCTGTACTTTTTTGCGTAAGAATAACGATTTGCTTTCTAATCAAAGGTGATAAACCGGGTAAAAAGCACGAGGCAATGATCAATCTCAGAGGGATGCGCCATGCATTCGACTTCATTAGGCTTCGTTTGGAGGTTATTGAATGCACATCAGGCCCTTACAATGACTCGCGGTGGCCTACCGATATATCGAGCCAGCGCTGCTATCCTCCTTGACAAGTCTGCTACCAATTTGCCAACCTCGGAGGCATGAAAGGCTTGGTGGGTCATGGGCGCAGGGGTCGATTCCACTTTTGTGTTGCAGGGCGCCTCCGACCACTGCGCCGCACGAGCCATGTAAACCAGAACACTTCTTAAACTCAGTTTTATACGTGTAGAAGGCTACTGTTTCAATGCATTTTCTTTCATTGATAAACTAACACGAGATTGTTACCAAATAATTGTTACGGCTAACGCTTGACGTCTCCGTCATTTTCAGAGCCGATGATTTTATCTAGGCTTCGCCTCCATAGGACGAAGACGACACTGTATCGCGAGGACGAACAGCTGTGGACCATTTACTCAATTCATCGGCTCTGAGGAAGACGAAGACACTGAAGCGTTATCCGAACAAATGTTTGGCAGCAAGCTGGTATTAGCTCATAAATAAAAGAAAGTACATTGATTATTAACGGCGAGGTTAGATGAAAGTCGGTTTGCAATAGCGCTATTGTGTTTTCTTTACTCAACCGATGGAATTACCGCATAGAATTCTTTACTGCCGAAAATCATCACAATTAGTTCTTCATTCTTTCACCAATTTTTTAGGTTCTACGGAATCAAATTGTTATGTGGTTAGGATACCCCAGTTTTTTACATCTTGGCGAAAGCTGATCGCTTGTCTTTGTTGCAGTGGTTACTACTTTGGTTGAAAATAGAACTTGCAGAAAAAAACGTGCAGGGCTGTATCAAAATTTGGATCAAAGATTAGACATCTTATACTGGGTGGTCTACGGAATGAGAGATTAACCTTGCCAAGCGCTGTTGATCGTGGATACTGGCGGTAATTCGTCAGTCGCCGAATAGGTGACCTAGAAATCCCCCGATAAATTCCGCTATCCGTTTATAATCATCCTACTAGTCATTGTTACGCTTTTTAGTGATCTGCAATTTTCACTGTTCCCAACAACACTTCTCTAGTAGATGTAATAGGTGCTTTGAATTTTTTAAAGAACTGTTTTAGATGCTCATTCGAGCAACCCTTCTGCTTGCAGCTGCTGTCGTTGTAGTGCTGGGCACAAAGAGCGCCAATGACAAACTGAAGGAATGCTGCAAAAGCCTCAAGGAGGCCGACAAAGACTGTGTTAACAAATTCTGCGACTTCAAAGCAATTTCACAAACAAATGTTGGTATTATCAACTATTATCAGTCTTTTTTCATCATCTAAAACAGTAGCACAAAAAGTCACGTTTCAGAGTAGTCACTCTCATTTTAAGTGATAATTCCAGATTTCAAGGATAAAGGGGAACTTGCTAGAGATTTCCAGATGTAAAACCTCTATAAAGTTAGAGCTTAAGCTGCTCCTAAAATCGCAGGCATTTGTTACACTTTCTTGGAAGACTTCCAAAAGATTTCTGAGCTCTACTCCATAGTTTTATCTTCCCTAAATATATCCATCCATTAAAAGGCTGTTCTCGGTCCGAAAAACAGTATTTGTTTTCATGGATTCTTACTTTCAAAGCTTTCACCAAATATCCATTTGAGATTCTCCAATACTGCCTGCAAATCTTCAATCTGAGGTCACCTTGTGTATCCGTTCTATCATCAATTATAAAACGTACAGCGGCATCTACAAGGTATAACGAGCAAATTCAGATTCTCAGCTTCCTGTCTGCGTGCTCCGAACGCGGTCCGACCGTGGGCAACATGTGGGACTGTGCTTCTCTACGTCACGATCACACTGAATGCTGCAAGGTTTGCTTAAAACTCTTTCCAACATATTCACAGTATCATCCAGACACCTCCCAACGGTTTACCGCCTCAACGTGGCTGGGAGGTATTCCTGGGTGTCGGGCTACGACGTACTTCGAAGGATTCATCCAACCGCAGGGTCTCCCAAGATGAGAGCGAGGTCGGTGTTTCCATCAGGAAGCCTAGCTAAGATAAACCAATACCAGGATGCAGCACTGTTTTGGTATTAAACTAGTCGCATCGTGGTAAATCTCCTTCTGATCCACAAGAGCCACAACTGCCTGTGGTGGTGATGACCCGGGACAGACTTTGGCCATGCTAACCTCACGACTCAAGGGAACCGCAAAGGCTGAACCAGTAAGGCTCCGAGAGGATGGAGGTTACGCTAGGGCCCGTGAACGCAGTGAAGGCAGGCAGTGTATCTAAGTCATCCGGACAAGAAAGGATTGTTGTTCGGATAGGAGGCAAAATTCAAGTTCTTCACTAAGTAAATAGAAAAGACACGTCCAACTATTATATAGTGGTTAAAAATTTCAAACAGATATCGTCTGATGTCCATCAATGACATCAAGCGGAAATGTGAGTCCAAACCATATAGAACATTTTTCAGTCTAAAGGTGTCGAAGGTAAATGCTTAGAGTACTGCGCTGCGCAAGATGGTGTGCCTACCAACTACCTTGACTATCTGTTTTGCGTTGAATCATTTAATGAGATCCGCGACTGTTTCATGGATCATTTGGAGAAGAATCCTGCCTTTAAGAAGAAGTACTGAATATGCTATGCATGTATTTAATCCAGATTTATATTTGGTTAATAAACACTTGCTCTTCGTACGATCAAATCTTCTATGGTGGCTTCTTTCTGAAACTACTAAGCAACAAACTCAACGTCATACTGCATTAAGAACTCCGAAAAACGATCGCCCAGAATAATTCTGGAACATTTGAATACGTTTCACTGTTGGCCAAACTTCCTTCAGTGACTCGGAAATTTCCGAATGATGCTACCAACGTCATCTTTGGCCTTCACTTCTTATCCCAAAGAACATTTGCTCATTCAATGTGAAGAACACAAAGACCATCGTACTTTTCTTGGGCTCTTTATACGAAATCTTCTAATTTTATAAAATCACAATGGTGCTGAGCCATTTGCGAAACTTGGACCCCATGCTAGATTTGGACTGGCCACCACCCTGAAGCTCACAACGTACACACTTCACTACTGAGGGAGGCCCTTGCTTTGCATTTCTCTTTGCTTGTTTTTGACCTTAATGGCGCCATCAGAAATCACCCGTCAAGGTTAATAATCGGCAGAGCATAAATCGGTATCGAATTCAGTTATGCTGAGGCCGTAATGTAGCTTCCAATTTTAGTTGCTTTTTGGCAAGTTTTCTCAAATGTGGATTACTATATTTGACCATATAGCTTCAGTATTTTCACAGTTCAAGTTACCTCCTCGAAATAACCGCGAGCCGCTACGCATGTTCTTCTCAATCAATTGGTTACAGGTTTCCTCCCGAAACCATTGTGCCACACACACATTTGTGGGTGTGTGCGGCACAGTGGTTAGGGATTCCTGCATACACATGTGGGTGGTCATCATTTGGAACAGCCGCCCGATCTAATTGACCTGGTGTCTCTCCGCAATCGCCAAATTGGTATTGGACTGGTCTGAAAGGATAAAAATACCAGCTTAATACATCAATAGGTCATCGCGTGTCCGTTGTCAGCCCAACTACGCATTCACTTTCTTGATGCTTATAGAGTCGAGTGACGCTGTATCCCCTAGGAGTTTACCAGCGCCGAACGCCGCTTTATCTTTTAACCTTTATGCTTTGTTTATAACATTATGACCGACACAACTGGGCAAATGACTTCACTCTACCATTCACTCTATTCATAAATACAATGCGACTGCTGAGCAGAGAGTAATCCATGCGCTTTTGAGATCAGCACCCTCTTAGTAGCTACTCGATTTTGTCCGACTTATTGGACATGCCAATAACTGTAGACTAAGAGGAATTCCCACTCACAGCAAAAGCAAGAAAGTGATATTCCCCAATGTAACGATTAGTCTGGTGTAAATCCCAATCTGGTACCAGCTGTGAGCTCACACCATCAATCTTCCTGCATCTCGCCATATAAGAGAAGCCATTTCATCAATTACTAAAAACAGCCTGAGTAATGTTATTTTTTGTATCCCATGGAATTTTCAAATATGGTGAGAAAAATGGTTAGGATAGAACAACGTTTATCTCAGTGATCGACGACATTCTTTACGATAAAACCCTTGCTTTCGATGAAAGTAATCGATACCGATATTCCACGTAAATGATTTTCAACCCTCCAATCAATACCTTCTTCGATTGTTGAGCTAACACGAGGTTGATAAAGAGATTTATTCGGCTTCTTATAGATGGTCTACCGATTCATGTCAATTAGGACAACTTCAGCCGGTCAGGAAGACGATGATCATGGATGCAGCTCAACGTCGTCCATAAACAATACCTGCTGACACCTCACGTAGCAATTCCCAAGAGCGACTTCCTATTAACCTCGGCACTGATTGATAATTCGATGTTTTTCTTCAATAAGCAGACACGAAGTTGGTATTATAGAATTTATTAGGATACAATAGCTGGCGTTTCGGCGGTTTCGCCTTCTTCAGAGCCGTTTATTTGCCGTAAGTATTTAAGTTAGTTGATGGATAGCAGTCGCACAGAGTAATAAAAGGGCGAGGACTGTGCCCAGATCAGGCCACTGAATCAGCCTGAGGTAAGGCGCGAGGTCACGCGTGGTCACAAAGCACTCCTCCTTGCTGTTCATTTTTGAATTTTTGGAGTTGATCCAAATGGAATTGAACGCTTCAAGAGTTTTACGCGCTGACGTTTTCGGTTCGTGCGTGAGGATAGTGACCCCTACTTCAAAATCTTCGTTGTGTTCCTGCATCCTATGTGCGCCTAGTGGAGTGTTTGGTTTTAATTCAGATTTGCCGGCTAGGTGTTCTTTTATGCGGACGCAGAGCGGTCTACCCGTTTCGCCAACATATTCGCCCCCACATGCTTTGCAAGAGATCAGATGGACTGTACCTGAGCTCGTGTAATCAGTCCCTATCGCTAGGGCAAACTGTGCACTCATTCGTTGTACACAGACGGTCATATAGGCGGTTGCGAACTATCTGGCGTCTTATTGTCTGGTGGTATTTCTATCATTCTTACGGAATTCTCTAGACCGGTCCTCATTAAGCAACGTTTTATAGCTGCACTTATTTCGAAGGGCAAGAGGAACGAAGCCTTGTTTTCGCTAAAATTATCGCTCTGGGGCGCCCTTTTCCTCTATGTCTATGCCGAGAAGCTACACCTTCGTAACCGTTTGACATGGCTATTTGGCACGCCAGTTTCGATGATTCTTCCCTCTGCTCTCTACCTGTGCACACGCTGGTGGCGGTTCGAAACATATTTCTTATAAGCTCCCTTTTAGTGTGTGAAGGATGAGAGGAGACGTAATGAACCACTATATCCTTATTGCTTGGCTTTCGATACCACTTTGCGTTGTAGCCGTTTTCGTATAGGTTGATTTCAACGTTTAGAAATGGAAACTACTTCTCTTCCGGTTTCTCACAGGTGAATTTTATTTACTCTGACTGGTCGTTCAGTAACTCAAAGCATTTGCCCATCACCTCTTGTGTGGAGCAGATGGCAAAACAATCATCTACAACCACAACGTCGCTGAGATATTTGCAAAACTCTGGACCGCAGGTATCTATGGTATAAATCATCTATATACCTACAGTAGAGTAATGGCCTGAGATCGATTACTGGTCCTTCCACTTTAGACATAAGGACTACGGCAAGGGTTGGTGCCAGTCGCTGTCCCATTGCCAACCCTCTAATTTGCGCGCAACATATCTCGGACCATCTGAAGATCGAGCAGTTTAAACAGACCTTTAAGAGGACCATAAGCTGCTGAATCGAAAAGCCATACATGTTAATTGCTCCTTCCTGTTGCTCAAGCTCGCGGATGGCTTGCATTGAGGAGTCGTCCGACACGTTAGTCTAAAGGGCGGTAACGTCGAACGACTCCATAACGTACGCGCTTTTGGGATCTGCGTTGCGCGGACGGTCTAGGAACATTCGGGTATCCGTGAGATGGGGTGGTATGTGTTTAACTCATTGAAGAAAAGCATCGAATAGCTGCTGAGTTGTTAGAAGAATTCTAGCACTTATCTCCCATGTTTTGGCTCATTCGGCTTGTTCCTTTTACCTTCCACTGTCTGCTTGATTAGATCTTCGCAGAACTATTTTAAATAGTGTGAATCTCTTTTCGTCGGAAACGTTCAAAAAACGTCCGCACTAGGTTTTTTGGCTTAGAGATCCTAGAAATTCTGTGAGGATAAGATAGCACAGTTTGTCGAACATTTAACAGCAATCGGTCAAGCCAAACGCTGCATATGCCATTCTAGTATGATGCTCAATTGGAATCAACTCATGAAAGCTTATTCTTTCCAAAATATGAGTTCACTTGTCTCCTCGTTTTCAACAGCTTTTGTTATTTTGGTGGTACAAAAGACAATTAACCACCGAAGAACACAGAGATTTCTTACTACTTTGCTCGTCTGTAACGCTCTCGCTATCTTTGTTTCCTAAACACCAACACTGTCCGCGACTCAAGGAACAAACTCTTTCGAAAAAACCGTTGCTGTATACTATTAAGTTCAGAAACCAGCTTTTATATTCTGACATCTACTACACGAGTCTGTGTTGCATAAGCTGTTAAATAAATACGAAAAGTAGGGTAGAGGAAGTAATCCGTGCCAAAATAAACGACCGGAAAGAAAATAAGTTGATATCAATCTTAGCCGATCCAACTGCCCACACACCTCAGATGTGAATGGAAGGCGAGTCATATCGGACCCCAAATGTTGATTATCTTCAGAGATAGATTTAATACATGAACTTTTTCAAGAAGGACTAATCTCTTTACTTACAACAACTCTATACTCGTTTGCATTTCTGGAAGGCTAAGCTTGTTCTACCTTTTTGCATCTCTATAGTGTTCGCAGTGTGATACAAACACTAAAGCAGACAGGAACCTACCGAGTAATCAAGGTGCGTCGCCACATCCCAGCTTCATGTTTAATTATTTGTAGTACTTAACAAGGTAGCAAACGTAGTGTTGGCTAATGCTTCCTTGCAAGCTCCTGGTAAATCATCTGTTCCAGGCTCCACCAAAGAAATCTGCTATCACTCGACTGCTTGGTTAGAAAGAGGTTACAACTTATCCAGAAGACGGAATAGAATGATTCATTCTAACATCAATACGAAGAAGAAGTATGAAGGAAATAGAGACTTATTTTCACCGAGTATTGAGAGAACACTAGAAGACGTCACCAGAACTGGTAGTTGATGCATATGTCCTAGTTCTTTAATAACATACAACCTTAATTATGAACAAATCCCTTGTTTTAAGCAGAAAAAACTTAGCTATATACCACTGCCTAACTTTAACCGATAATACTAACATTTAACTACGTGACGTAATTTTTAGCAGACGTTAACTCAAACTATTAGACTTTGTCGACAAGTGAGACTCCACTCATTTCAGGTGGCTTTTCTAGTCCCATTACCTCTAGGACTGTTGGCGCGACGTCACACAGAGCCGCTGAACGGTTGCTGAGCTGAAGAACAGCAATGTATATAAATTGAAACGAAACTTCAAATAACAGGACTTGAAAAAATAGACCAAGCCAACATAAACCCTCCCAGAACTTTACCTTCTTGAACTTGTATGAACTACTGCTGCAAGTGAAAGGTACAGGATTACAAGTGTGTGCTGTGTGTTTGCTACCATCTGGAGCTATCATCTTCTCAGCATTTCCGTGGTCCGCTGTTACCATCAAAACATAGTCTGCAATTGCATAAAGAAGGTTGTCATCAATTTTTCCATCAATGTTGCTGTGCCCTAACAATCTATATAAAGTTACCATTCGCTTTGCAGGCCTCATAGATCCTTCCAATGGCAGCGTCGGTTGCCTCGCACGCTTTAACAGCAGCTTCATACACCTGAAATTTAGCAATGGACCACACTAACGCTTCTCCGAAAAATATGACATTTCGGCCTTCACTATCTGTCTTAGTAGGCGCTTTTTGATACGGCTGGAAATAGCCAAAGCAGTTGATGAAATATTCATAATACCAATTACATTTACATACTCAGATGCCCCTCACCACTCAAACGTCGTTCTGGATTCCAGCACTTCGGCCACTTTCTTCATTGTCCCGCAAACGTTATCCGTAGAAGTCACTAGCCTCGCTAATGGGTTCGGTTACTGCATGGGGATTTTGCTTACTCTTCTCCCATTTCTCATTCGTATTTTGCATGTAAATAAAACGCAAATTTGGAATCCCTGAAAGGCCATAGAGGGCCATTTCCAACTCCACATGCAGTCTTCTGGATATAGAAGTTTGTCTTCTTGCCACTATGATTCTTCCAGAAATGCAACCAATCCTGTAGTGACAGGGATTCCTTCGATTACTTAACTGACTTATGGAGAAGTATGCAATGGCCCAAAAAACAAGACAGTAAAGACAGACTGTAGTGATAACTTACTCCAGTATGGCCAACCATATCAGGTGGAGCGAAGTTACACATCACAAAAGGATGTTTCTTTAAATTGATTTGCTCAATCATTTTATCGGCAACACCGGCCGATGACATTTCTGGCATCAGATCATATGTTGCAACCTGAAAAAAAAACCCCACTTCACTAATGCTACTTTGACAACTAAACTAAAAATTACCTTCGGACTTGGAACCATGCACCTCTCTTCGTCTTTGAACTGCTTTTCAACACCACCATTGAAGAAAAACGTTACGTGAGCATATTTCTCAGTCTCCGCACAATGGAACTGCGTTAGACCCTGACAATACCAATACTTCTACTACTGCAAGACACATTCCAAATAAAATTTTGAAAAAGTAACAGCTCCACCCTTTATTTTGATAAGCGTATTCACTTGCAAATACTGCCTGGTAATTCACGTATTATACTTCCTCACTTAAAGTCTACCAATAGTTGGAGATAGTAGGAATATCTCCCTGAACTTTGAGTAGCAAAGGTTCATTATCCAACAGTTATGGTTATCTTGGTCGAAACACTGGAAACTAAGCTGAAAGCGGAGCGAAGGAACATAATTTCTCGTCGTTTCTGGACCACTCTTAATAGAACGGATGGCGAATATGCTAGATAACCATAATTTAGCCATCTCAGTGCCATAGACATATTTTCCAACTATTAATAATTTGAGCAATACCAGATGCCACAAGAAAAACCGTGAAAAAAAAACAAGAAAAAATCGATCAAGTGTCAAATTGTTAAAATTATTATTCCAGATGAAAAAGACAAGGTAATATGACCATGACCATCCCGTAAAATAAAATAAAAGGCTATAACAACAGCAAAACAGTGACCAACTCAAGTACAATGGGATAACCCATAGCATATTCGACACATACTGGTTTTTGACAAATACCGATAACTCTTTAAAAACGATAACATTTGAGTTGCAACTAAACAGGTTATAGAAGAGACTTTGCGTTATCGTTCTATGAGTATATATCCTCTTCATAATGTCATTTCAACTCTAAAATTAAGTTCTCAAATCCTCCCAAAAGGAAACTAAATGAGTGAAAGGTTAGATGCAAGCCAGCAACCGCAAACATAAGCGATGCCCTCCGGCACATCAACTTCTACGGGATGAAACTCAGCTTGAAAATCACATTGATCGCATTGACATAATTCCTTTAAGGAACGAATTTACCCACAACAAACAACTGGCACTCATTTTCCTGATATCCATTAATGTAGAAGCACGTAGCAACAAACTTTCAACACCACTTTAAACTCATGGACTATCCCTAAACAGTAACTAATTCCAAATATTCTCACTGCCTAGAAGTAAAGACTTTTGAATAAGAATGTCTACTTCAGAATATGATACAACTAACATTCAAATCAGTGCACGATATCCAGAATTGCCTAATGTGCCTCCGCTGCATCATGTCAGCAACAAGTGGTACCAGATCATACATCATACCGTTCGCTTGTCATCCCACACACGTCAATCATGAGAAGGAACTCGACAGAATATTTGGAAACGTACACTACTGGATATGCAGTGGTTTTCCAAGGTGTAACTCTCCTATGCTAAAAAGCCAAAGATAAAGCTCTCGGTGTTGATCAATCTCTTAGGGATACGCCATGCATTCAACTTAATTGGACATCGCTAGATTTCCCCATTTGCCCGAATGCAAATCTGGCCTATGCAATGACTCGCGGTGCTTTATCTATGTATATGTAGTGTGGTACCGACCAAAGAGAGATAGAAGGCTTGGTGGGCCAAGAGCGCCGAGATCAATTCCATATTCCATGCTCTACAATAGGTACTTCGACATTGATGGAAACATGAACACATGGTTAGTGATCAAACCATGGGTTTACTTATGTCAACGCTCAATTCTCAAAAAACAACGAAATCAGTAATTCAACAAGCATTCGAAACAGCCACCGAACAGGATAATGATAAAGTTCCAAACCAGATGTGAAATAGTTCATACCGCCTTTAAGAATGTACAATGTAAATAATAGTTGTTAACGTTGTCATTACATTCGACACATGTGTGGGATATCCAGCCAACATGTACATCGTTATTACGGAAACGTTAAATAGAATTTAATTCTAAAAGACGGGACGATTCTAGCACTATTCATCTATTTCCTATACAACTTAACACCAAATATTGTGCGGATCCTCACATTTCCATGAAGTTTGGCGCCTTGCATCTGTTACCGACGAAGGTGCAAGAACATTAAATGTTGATTCGATCTGAGGATGTAAGCCTCTTCCACAGTGTCGTTAAATTACGGCCAAGCTGATTTCCCATGGAATCCTGTGATAGTTATACTAAGGCGTTCCCAACTCTTCACCACAGGCAACCGCCAACTCCTGTAGATCGGAGAGAACTTTACCCATTCAAGTTTAATTACCAAACGACACATATCAACAGGAAAAACTCGGTTACTCTGATCGCTGAAATTTCAGATCTATTAGGATAAATATTTAGAGCGGAAGAACAGCAGTTAGGTGAAAATGGGCGGTAGATGAACAACGAGGATATTTGAGCAGATACGTATCAAAACAAAGCGACACTTAGAAAAACTATTAACTAAAACGGCTGAAATTTTTTAAACACATCAAAAGCGTGATTCATCTACCTTATTAAGCACTTCTTTAATTCGAGCCATCAAACTGTTTCATTTGTACAGTTCACAAAAAGGACGGAGAAGCTATATGCTGACGTTTCTATCATGTACGAACAGGTGCAGAATTGTGGTTAAAAAGTCGTAACATCAAAACGCGTTCTGTGAAAAAAAAATACATATGTATGACATAACGGGTGCCCGTGTGGGGCAATGGTCGAAGGCGCGCTGCAATACACATTAGATCGATTCCCGCGCTCCTGACCCACCAAGCCTTCCATCCCTCCGTTGTCGGCGCCAGACTTGTCTGGGAGGGTAAGATCACCGGCTCGACACATCGGTAGGCCACCGCGAGTCATTGTAAAGGCCACAAATGCATTCGATCACTTCCAAACGATTCTTACTGAAGTCGAATGGATGGCGCATCCCTAAGGGATTGATCAACACCTGGAGCTTTATCCTATTATTTTATATTTACATTACTTTATTTTATTATTTATATTTATTACATAATATAATATAACAAAAGCAAAAATGATACTCCTTGTATAGTAGACTAACACTTACTACTTATCATAAAAAACATATAGAGGTAGTACTCCTATATTACCACACAAATTCTGATTATTTCTGCTAACCACTCCTACCAAAAACAATAGATGTGAGAGATAAAGGACTCACTTTAGTAGCCAACCATTCGGCGAGAACATTTTTATTTGAAAGAGGAGGAAACAAAGCAGGGAATGGGAATTCTGCTTTGTATTGTGTCATACCTGAAAATACCACCGACCAAAAATGAAGGTGACACTTCCAAAACACCACAGTAATAATACACGAACCAAAAACTTGCACATTTTTGGGATGTGGCAGCGAAGACTTACAATCCTTATGCCGCTCCATTCCCATAACCTAGATTGTGGGAGTAAAAGGAAACAGTATAACGATTTAAAAAGTCAATGAAAATACCTCAGAAATCTCTCTCATTCGATCAGCTCTATAGTCGAAAAAGATGAGCGTATCGCCATCTTTCACTCGTCCTTTGTCGCCGTTAAGAATGATCGGCTTAAGGAATTCGTCCGTTTCTTGCGCTTCGTAGCGTTTTCGCACGAGCGCTGGTGCCTAATAAATAGCGCTGAATAGTGGATCAACAAATATTTTTCCAAAAAAGAGAAACATACATAGAAAGAGAAAACGTGTGACACGACTAAAATCAACCTGATCGACCGCAGCTTCCTCGCCCTTACCACCGATCATAGCCTCGTAGGCGACACATATCCTTTCCCAACGCTTGTCACGGTCCATTGCATAGTAACTGAAGATACTTCAAAATTTAAAGAACAAAGAAACAGCCACTGACACATTCGTACACAATGAAATATTTCCGCTCAATGTTAGTCCTCTATTTGCTGCCTACTATAATTTTTCACGGCAGGGTAAGATATGAAATACAACCACAATGATGCTGAGATATTCGCAGAACTTGGACCTCAGTCCAGATCGAACCACAATTAGCTTTTCTGGAAGCCCGCGTATTACACAGTGCACCACGAAGGCCCTTGCTTTGCGTTTCTCTCAATTAGCTTTGTGTGCAATAAATGAGCCCCCAGAAAGGGTAATCGTGGTTCAATGTGGTCCGGGTTCTACGTTTTGGAATATCTCAGCAACATTGTGGTTGCATTTCATATCATACCCTGCCGTGAAAAACTATGTGGGCAGCAAATAAAAGGTTAACATTGTGGCTTCGTCTACAGTCTCAGCTTAGCTGGGTTCAATGCCGATCTGTGCTCGACAGATCAATCCCGCTGCAGGGTCATTGCTTATGGCAGCGATAGGTAGAAAACTAGCCGAAAGAAACGCAAAGCAAAGGCCTCCGTGGAGCAGTGTGTAAAACGCGAGCCCTTGGAAAGGGTAGTCGCGGTTCGATCTGGCCCAGGGTCCAAATTTTGCGAATATCTCAGCATCGTTGTGATTGTCGCTCAATCACAGCTGGTCACTTGACACACTCACTGAACATTCGTAATAAAGTAACAAGTTCAAAACCGATACAGCACTAATCAAATATTGCGTGGAACTAGGCAAAAATACCATTTGATAAAAAATGGTTGCGAAAGGAACATACCGACCAACGATAGTAGCTAACTGACAATATTTCAGCTCGTTCATGAATGCGATCGTCTTCTCAAGGAATCCAGCACCACTCGTTGGTGACGTGTCGCGACCATCCCCGTAGAAATGAAGGTAACACTCAGGCACACCCAACTCCTTTATTGCTTTCATGAGAGCAAACAGGTGATCTGAAGTGCATTACTGAAACACTGGAAAAGAAAGCCAGATACTTTAGCCATAAAACTACTGTACATCATACATAGTAAAAGAAGGATAAGGCTCTCGGCGTTGATATCCCTGAGAGATGCGTCAAGCACCCGACTTCATTAAACACCGTTGGAAGCACTGAATGCATATCTGGCCTTTACAATGACTCGCTGCTATCTTCCCGGACAAGTTTCGTACGAATTTGCCGATCCCAGAGGGATGGAAGCGTTGGTGGACCTTGGGCGCGGCAATCGATCACGTGTATTGCAGTGTGCCTCCGACCACTGCGCTACATGCGCATATCATATATATGAATAGGAAGTATATAGACGTGAACAAAACTATATATGTATATTTCGCCAGGGCTTCTAAAACAAACTGTCATATGACAAGAATTTAACTCACGAAATCTGCTATCAATGACCGATATCGCATATATATATGTAATATATATATACATATATATACATACATATATATACATATATATATACATAGATATATATACACCATATATTACTCCGAAACATTGCCCAACTCAGCCTAATCCTACTGTACAGTTACAGGCTTCTTGCTCTTCCAAAGGTCAAAAGGCAAAGATGAAAGAAGAACGAACCGATATGAGAATGCACTCCACCGTCAGACACGAGACCGGCAAGGTGTAGCCGACCATTCCCGGATTTAGCGCGATTGCATGCCGACACAAGATTCTCATTTCTTATCTAAATTCAGTTGTGCCATTGGAACACAAATGTAACAGGCTTATGAAACCCTACTGATTCGAAAGATTGTAAATAGGTGCGAAACATTTTTACCAATGTGTTATCTTTGATAGAAAGGTTGATGCGCACAATATCTTGGTAAATTGGACGGCCAGACCCGATGTTGAGATGGCCAACCTGAAAAATAATCATTTCCATGTAAGGATGAAGGTGATCACATCAGAAACTATTGATGCTACCTTTTAGCAGAATAGAACTCAATAAAGGCCACTGACATAGGCCAACCTTCACAGCCATTTATGAAAATCAACTTCTTTGAGAAGAACAACTAACTTCAGAGTTACCCATAAGTCCTTCAGGAAGGCCAACATGCAATCCGTGAGCTTCTATTTGGGTCCAATTTCCTGCCATTATGCACTTTTTTCCACATTTCAACAATAACCACAGCAGTAGAGTTTGCTGGATTTCCACTAACCAGAACACAAAGAATCCATGACAGGCGTCTTGGCGTTCTTGATCGCATTGCCATGGCTATCCTCCGAAATACCCCAACCATCGATGACTACCAGACAGACATGATTAGCAACATTAGTCATCTCGTGCCTGAAATCCTAAGAATTTTTCAGGAAACAGCCCGTAGAGGCGCACTCCCGTGTACAACGATATCGACGATACTTTCAAGCTGGACGGGAAAATCGGTTACAATGAGACATTTGCTAAGGAATCAGAAACCAAACCCACCACTAAATGGCCCAGGATACATTACACCCATGGCTCAGAAGTTTGAAAAGCCAAACATTTCACCAGGAAAAAAAGGAATGTGAATTGAGGACCAGAAGAAACGAAAAGATCCGATTTTTGCTGAAGCCTTTATTGATTGGAGAGGAATAAATGGATGCACTGAAGATTTAAAAATCGATGTGGCAAACCGATCAATTGAAGGATGATGACCCCACTTTGCAGAAGATGAAAAACACAGCGCGCACCACTCACGCCGGGGCGCAGCCTGACAACCCGAGCGCCCCCTACCGGGAGAAGCGGCCCAGGACCACTCGGAAGACCTCAAGCTACCAGATCTGCCCGGAAGCAAATGTTTGATTGACAGCCAGAAGCTGTGGATGAGCTATGATTGAGCATATATGAAAACATTTTGAATTGGATTGTTGCTAGAGCGGTGTGTTGTGAACTATGTATTACAACGGAGAAAACTACGGCGATGATGTAAAGTCAGATGGAAAAGTCACTAGCGATAACTCGAGGGTTTTCGGTAATCAACCACTTTCGCGAGTCAAAGAACGTATGCAATGAGAACCATTTAAACTACTAGCTAACAGATCAACAGAGATGATGAGCTAACGAAACTCGAAGCACATAGCTCTCTAAAGCTCTCCACTGCTCTCAGCAAAGACAACATGAGCAGTCCGTTCCAGGTCCGCTAAATTAGTAGAAGAATACAGTGTTCGTACAATTAATAAATACTGGTTTTGTTGCCATATGAACGCAAATCTACTCGTGCAGGTGATGCACATTACAATTTCTGGTCACTATATTATGCAACGCGTTGATGGGCGCCTGTGGAGCAGCAGTCGGAGGCCCCCTGCAACACACACACACACACGTGGAATCGATCCCTACGCCCACGGCTCGCCAGGCCTTCCATCCATCCGGAGTAGGCAAATTGGTACTAGACTTGCCTGGGAGGATAGCAACACTGGCTCGATATATCGGTAGGCCACCGCGAGTCATTGTAAAGGCCAGATATGCATTCAATCGCCTCCAAACGATGCTTAATGAAGTCAACTGCATGGCTCGTCCCTAAGAGATTGATCAACGTCAAAAGCTTTATCCTTTTATATTTTACTTTATGGAAAACCTGCTAAGACAAACCTCTATTCCCCAGCGTTCCCTTGCAGTCTATTTATCACTTGATTATCGAACTGTTTTAACTAATAGGTGCACTGACATTGCTGCGTACGATATCAGGGGAAACATCTCGAGTCAAGAACCATCCTAGGACAAGCTTCGATTTGCAGGGACATGAGCGTTGCAGTGTCTGGAAGTTTTAGTGTAAAAGATATCCTTGCATTTGCATCCAGCAGAGTGTGCACAGGTATAGAGCAGGAGGGAACACGGAAATTGGTGCGGCAAACAGGTCATTTCTTCTCACGGTAAACATCGGAGACTTTGGCGCTTCCTGAACAAATGAGGGCTAGGTTATCGAAAACCCTGTCTTTCCCTCTATCACCTAAAAGAGAGGAGAATAATCCAAGCCTCCGACCAATATCAACAGCCGAAGATCAGTCACAGACTCATCCTCAAACCCTAAGATGTTGGAGATCAGTTAGCTGAACAAATAATGCGTCTTAACGACAATGCGGTGGAGAAGAACTGTTAACGACTAGCTCCATGCTGTATGTAACGCACAGCAATGGAACCATCGACTGCGTGTTCAGATTCAGATTTCTTTAAATATAACCTACTTGAAAAATATGACGCGAGTCCCTCGAACAGGCAGAACCCAACAGGCAACACCGGTGCATGTGGCCAAGACAAATGGACACTATGATAAGATTAGTTGATGTTATTCGACGATTGAAGGAAGAAGAGGTGGCACAGGTGACCCGATGGCTGAAATTTAACGACGCTGTTAGGTCTCCTGTAAAAGCAAATAACTTGTCGGCCCCTTCATTTGGGGCAGTATGAATAAGATTCTGTCCCGCAGACAGAATTTTACGAGGCGGTATTGTTCTCTCCTTCGCCGCCAACTACAGTGCGGGCCGTCCCATTTGTACGACGATTACATACTGCGATATCTGCTATCATCTGATCACAATGTCGAACCATATCGATATTAAACCGATATGTTCCACCTTTTCGAATTTTATGATTTTGTGTGAATAATTGATTTTCGAAGACGTAAATTATTGATTTTTTTGAGGCAATTCTGTCTATGTTCTTTATTGCAATTAAAACCTACTACTACTGGTTACAACTCCTTCTGGGCTAAACCATTTATTCTTTTGAATTCATGTAGGTAAAAACCAGTTCAGAGTAGCAATAATGCTTTTAGAAACAGTGTTTCTCACAGACGGTCACCCAACTCACTCGATGCAATAAATGGGTAGACATCAGAATTAATTCGAATTCTTATTTAGATATCTCTAAAATTTACTTAAATACTTAAGTGAACCGAGTTCAAATCTAATGCGGGTTGCGACACTTCTCCTATTTATTTCATTGCTTAGAATTACCACCGAAAAACCTGGTCTCCACACTGTTTTTGTTTGGGTGCGGGCAGGTTGAAGACTTCGGAGTCTATTTCAGCTGTGACCATTTTGAGACATTTGCCGTGGATTTCTTCTCGTATTCAACGAAGGATGGGATAGCACGAGACTCCAGGAAGACTTCTGTAATTCCCGAAAGCACCACGATGTGGTCTATTCAACTACATCTTTCATGAAACCTGACTTACTCTATCATTTAGGCTCTGTCAAATTCTCTGTGATACGCGTCAAGAGCTTTTGTGAAACCCCATAGCACAGCCCCAGGATCCTATCGGGAGGCAATTGCGAAGGTTATCCTCGCTGCTCATTTCATGCAGAGGAACACTGCGTGAAGCTCTGCGCTGGTTGGAATATCCGTCCCATTTGCAGGTATAACATAGTGTGTGTTGCAAGGCAGCATGCAGATAGTGGTCACCGGGTAGCAAAAAATTATTAGAAATAATGACCGATCCAAGTGCTGCCCCATCCCTCGAGCTCCTAATTGCAGTTCGGGCTACTATGAGAAGAATTGTTAGTGGTGTTCTTTCAGTGGGGATTGTAGGGTCTATTACAAGAGTCGTGGAAGGAAAGACGTTTGCGTACAATCTAATATGAATCAGTTCTATTCTACAGCAGGAAATTGTGGCTCGGCTGTCGACAGAATGATCCTTGTGTACTGCTTTTCTGAAGATGGCATCAGTAAGCACTCGTTCGATGTCTTTAGACGCAGGATATAGTTTTAAGTACTTTTTATCTCTCAGAATCTCTTTAGTTTTCTTGATAAACGTTCAGAGTTCCTTTTTGGAGATTTTGAAAGTTAAGATTTAACCTATCAGATATATGAAGAGATTTAAGACATTCCCGTAGTAGCTCATAGCTCTACGTCGGGATGTCGCTTTCGAGATAATAATAATTAATAAAATTTAAAGCGAATCATCGGGAATGAAATCAATCTTTTAAAAAGGCTTCCTTTTCTTCATTTTACAAGACTACCAGTGTTCTACTCCTACTTATGATTAAAGCGAATCTTAGCATGAAGAAGACCTGGTCCGACCTTCGGTAGAACTGTTTTCTTCTGAAAAGAATGTGATTGATCTCCGTATAGGCAGTATCGTTCGACACCATTCTCAGACGCTTTCTGCTATAAAAGTCCAATTTCCACACGGATGGAAGGTAAGCATGGATGGAGCCTCAGTGATTGATATCCATTTCCACTGCGATGTCTTAATCGAAATTTTTCGAGTGTGTATATCTGTTTTGATCCCATTCTTTTCCCTACAGTGTAATCGCCTGTGACGAAGTTGCAGAAAAACTTCGTATTATGGGCAGGTTTCTGGGAACCATCGAAGACGTTTCGAGTTTCATGACATCAGCTGAAGATGTTAGTAATTAGTAGTTGGTGATATTGATGATCTACCGACAAGCAACTGAACACCTTAGAATGGCGCAGCGGTGAGATAAATTGAATGCAAGCCAAAAAGGTGAACAACAGATGACGAAACTAATGCTATAAACATCAAGCGATGAAATAGTCCCACCTAACACAACGAGGTTCTACACAAAAGTTCATAAAAAATGATATAAACCATTAGTAGTGAAAACAGATCACCATTTGAAGGTTTAATGGATAAAGATTCATCTTTAACGAACATTTTTTAATAGATCGACTTAATTTAATACCAGAAGAAAAAACTCTAGATTTTCCGGTTTAAATGTTTTATAAATGTGAAGAGCTGTCTATCAGTTAATATAATACAAAACTCGAGAGCGTCAGCGCGCCGCTAATCGCTCCCAATCATGGCAAACATCTCCTTTGCGGGCCTGTTTGTCACCATTAGAGAACTCTCGAATCATCGCAAAGATTTATCACCACCATAACAACAATGAACTACTTCAATATCAACCAGTTCGCTATTGCTGACGAACGGCAAGAACGTGCAGTTTCATACGTTATATCCTATTCTTCCGAAACGGCGCCCCTTTCGAGATCAGGGCAATGAGGCCCGATTATATTTCTGTATTCAGCTTTTTGATACCCAGGTATAGTTTGGTGAGCTCTGGACGTGGGTCGAGTATGCCTACGGGTAATTTGCCATTCTCTCTGAGAGTGGACAGGGAGCCTATTTGTTAGAGGCGACTCCTAACCGCCTCCCATGTACTTCTCTGTTACTTGATCGCAGGATTTTTCCCGAACTAAATCGTCCAATACAAACCACATAAACGAGAACACACGTACGCATACATGAATACGTCCTCGTATATACAGAAGGTATATGCCAATTCGGCGCAGCAGAAACTGGGAATCCATTCCTGGACCCACCTGCGTCTCAGTG